ACATTTTCCCCCTCAAAAACCTTCATCATATTCTGAATATATTTAAAATAACGCAATACAGCCATTTTCCTTTTTCGTTTTTAACTTAATGCTGGATCACACGTAAAAAGACTCCATAACAAATCCTGTTCAGTGAAAACCCTGAAGGTCATTCCACTAAAGATGTTACTCAGTTTTTGTCACCAAACACTATGTTTTCACAGATTAAAAGGTCTTTATTTAATTGCCAATATGCTAATTTTCATGTAAATGACAGATTATCTACTAATTTGATTATGTTATGATACCTATACAATTCCCTGGGGAAAAAACCCTGTACACATTATTATACATATCATGGCAGAATATGCAAAAGGACCATCAGAAATATAAAACCAAACAAATTTAGGAATAAACTTTAAAGACTGAAAATACTGAACTGCTCATTAAAAGAATCATTTATACATAAACAGGAAAGTACAGAACAGGAAAACCTTTTGGTGTTTGATGTTTTTGGACAAGATATGAATTGCACACAAGTCCCTTCAAATGGCCTGAAGTACGTAATAATTAACTTTTTTATCCCCTCAGTGGTTGTGCTTTGGAAGAGCATAAATTGTTGACTGGCTTAAATACAAAAAAGTCACTGTATGGCACATACTCCCATTAAATTCAGATTTGTTTAAAGAACACACAATTCAATTGCCACTTTACTAAAAGCCACTGAGATGTTCAAAATACAAAGCTATTGTCTCCCTACCACAATACTGAAATGTGCATAGGACTGAATATCCTAAAAATATTTTAAATACTGATGCTCTCTGAAGCATAAACTAGTATTCCATATTCTCTTAAAAAAATGGATGTATGTATAAACATAAGGATAGTGATGCTCTTTTGCACTAAAAACACACTGAAAAAATTTTAACACTTATGTATCATTTTGAGAAATATTCCCATGCTTTTTTCTGGAGAAGAGGTAAGGCTGGAAATTCTGACCTACAAAAAGGAACATTTTACTCTTGGGAATCTTTTAGGAAATTTTAAGTTCCAAACACTCACATTACACAAAATCATTTGCTAAATTTTTATCAACAGACATTCCCACTAAATACTCTTCCATTATTGAATTGCAATGATCTGGCATATACATGGCTAAAATCTGCCCAAAATCACAGCACTATCTAACACTCATTTTTAACCTCAATGTACTGAAAACGTAGACACAATTCTCAGCTCATTCAGCAAGGACTTAGCCAACTCCTTACCATTTCCACTCTCTTGGTACAAAAAAAGCTGAAGTTTTTTAAAAACCAAACCAATTCCAAACATTTTAGGTCTTCACATTAACAAGCCCGTTTCTCAACTTATAATAGATACATACAGAAAGAACTAATAATGCCTTCTTTTTTTTTTCCATAAAGTCTCAGACTGAATGCTGACATTACAGCCAATTATTTTAAATGAGTACTGGTGTGCAGTTTCTTTTTCATTTAGCAAAGTAAATTTAGCTCATGCTTGTGAAACATAGTTCCACTCCTTCCTCCACTCTACAAAAAAAGGAAACTAAAAAATGGCATTCTTCTCTTGAAAGTATCAGATTGTAGCACACTGTCTAAAATGGGTCAAGATCTGATGCAGAATGCTGACAAGGTTTTTAGACACAACCTTCAGCCTAAAAATTGTCACAGGCTCTCTCCATCTGGCCCATCAACTGACTATGTGCAATTGTCAGCAGTAGTAAAATCTTTCATTTAGAACACAACGTGAATGGAAGAAGACTGAGCCTTCACTGTCCAAAGGATTTTAATCATTCAGAAAACAGCTGGCAGGCAGCCTAAGTGATACATATACAAGAGGGTCCCCTTCGCCCCACATCCTCTTCTGATTTTCTTTTCCCTGTGCAAACATTTATATTTAAAAAAATAAATAAAATGAAGCGCAAAGTTTATTTAAACATTATTTCAGCAGTGGCGCTTCCTCGAAGTGACTAAGGCCACTACACCACATTCTTACTGCTCTCCTAGTGAAGAAGTGCCACACAAGTCAGTAACTCTTTATTCATGTGAAAAACAGAATACATTTTTTCATCCTCTTAAAAAAAAATAAATAACTGAACCAGCTGAAATACAGGCCTTATATTGCCAGTCACAAAGAGGTCCACAAAGATCCTTCCAGAGACCTACAGCTTCTGAAAATCTGAGAGGGAAGTCTACAAAGTGGAGTTGTAAAAACTCAAACCTTACACTCTGGTATTTTATTGTGAGTTACAATATATTGATCTACAATAAAATAAAATAAAATCCTACTGATGGCTGGCATGTCTAAAAGAGATTATATAGTTCCTTAAAATCAAGAAGGGTACTTTTATTCAATTTCAGTTCTCAATTCAGTGCAATTTAAATGCACTCTGAATAAAGCTGCACGACCAGCAGCCCTTACACACATTCATCCTCCTTCTCTGCATATTCTGGGTGTGTAAATATATATGTGCAACACATCTAGAAATAAAAGGAAATCAACAAAATTAACACAGTTGTTGTCAGGTTCTCTGAGATCTCAAAATAACCTGTTTATGCACAACGACCATAAAGATCATAAATACAAGGCAATTACTTTCTACATGCTACCCATGACCAAAAGTGGACTTATATGTTAAACACAATGGGTATAGACAAGAGTAGCACTGCGGAGTAGGCAGTATCTTGTCTTTAAAATCTCAGTTAACCTCTATAACTATAATGTAAGAATTCCTCTTTTTGGAAAACTAACCAGAGTCAGCACTTACTTCAAAGGCAAGAACAAATATTATTGTGAAGAGTAAAATAGACGAGATCAAGGTTATAAAAATAACTTGAGATGTTTGACGCTTGCAAGTTTCTGCTTTCCCTGAGACTAAAAACTGTTCCCTTATAAAACCTGTGAAATATGACTTTTTACAATTTAAATATCCCATTTCAAAGGGATATCTCAGTAGAATCATACTAAGACCAAACTTATTCAGCAACCCAAATCAGTAATCTCACGTTTGCATGCTCACAGTGATAAAGGAATGAAGCCAAAACAGCTAAATGCTACTTTTTTTCGCACGTATTTATCTTTTATAAGTGTTTCTTTTATACTGCCACTCCAACTGCCTGCTCTGCAGTCACTAATGCAAGTCTTTTCCTTTCTTATCTCTTCGTTACCTTTCTAAAAGGGCTTAAGTTTTCTAGGTTTGCTGTTTATCCAGAAATTGTCCTATGGCAAATCTGTGCAGCTTCACAGCATTTTCCACATCTCTGTGAGACACAGCTCAGGGCACCTGAAGGCACCACCATCATGAAACGACGTACTGCGGTTATAAGAGTGAAAACTTAGTATTAGAAACAGCATGCTTTGAAGATAACAAGCCACCACAGTGATATATTTTGCACAACACAGGTTTGCAGTTACCCCTGGCTGTCTCTCTCTCATCATTCCTCAGAGTGGCACAACCCTGTTCTGGCAGCCAAAGTGCCGGTTTTCTGATGGGTTATGACAGCCCTTTGCCACCACAAGGCCTCAATTAAATGCATTATCCTCAGGCTTTAACAAAAATCTTAACCACTACATCCATCCAGACCGTTTTACCCCAGAACTCTGCACCAGGGAGTCGAGCAAACTCACATTCAAGCACTCAAGATTCACACACTCCACTCTCCACCCTTCCAGCCGGGACTGTCACAGCTCTGATGAAGCTTGTGGGTTTATTGATTTTGCTCCTCGGCACCAGGTCAGTTGGAATCATAACAGGGGTTATGCTTGGCACAGATCTCTTTTGTCAGGTTCAGTGAATTCACTGACAAGCAGTTTTTCCCATTGTAATTCAACTCTTATCCAGAACACTGAAGTATATGCAAGCAATCCCAACAGGATAAAGAGCATCCGCTTGTAAAAACAAACTGCCTTCCCAACCCAAAAATGCATGTGAATGCATCACAGTTAAGACCTCGAATCTCAATCTAGTGATAAACTCCAGCATGTCACTACTGAAACCTTAAAACACTCATGAAGTTCTATCACGATATTAAATCATCTTCTCTCACTCACAGGTAAGTGCAACCAGGAAACAACTTTTTCTAAGGGTGGGTGGTGGGAGTGGGTGGTGTCAGAGTTTATCAATTCACTCACTGCTTTTTACAACCTTAGTTTAGATGTTTTAAAAATATGTTGCTAACTGGCTTTGCTACAAGTTAAATGCCTTGCATTAAAGAATTTAGAAGTCACATTTTGCAGAGGCTGTTGGAAGAAAGCAAAATTTTAAATCAAGTGCAAGAACTAAGTTTTGATAATACTTTGAATCATAAATCCTGCCTTCCCCTTATTTAAAAGTTAATAAATGTTAAGCTGCATCAAACAATCACTTCATCTATGACAAAGACTATAAATTTGTTAAAAAATTCTTATTATAGAAGTGCAGAGTTTCAGTCATAACAAAGAACTGGGAGATACCTTTTTTCTATCCCTTTGCTGGTTAAAGAAGGAAATACATGTATATCAGCAAAACTAATGATGACAACAGCTAAGTCACCCCATTAAGCAATTTGTGTTGAAACCAAGTACTGTAAATATCCTTCAGCATTGTCTTACAGAAATAAAATTCTCTTTTGCAAGACTACTCTAACTCCCCTTAAGATATGAGATACACAAAATAAGCTCGGTTTTAAACCAAAATTGGCTTAAAAGAACATAATGAAAAATGACTGAGAAGTGGCGGTTGAAGAACTGTTGCTATATTTGGAATAGTTAGCTAATATGAAGTCAGAACAAAAAAGATATATGCCCATTTTTTTGCACAGCCCAGCACTCCTGCTAAAAAAGCAATTCTTCTCCAGTAAAGAAATTAATACATATGTACCAGAATTATTTTACTGAAGTGAGTAATGGCAGAGACATTTCAAACAGACACCATTTATAAGAGAGTAGAGACAAGCACGAAGCTGAGTTTTATCTGAGATATCTAAAGGCATTAGAAAGGGAAGAGATGAATATCAACTCACCAAAACCACCGGCGATCTAACAGCAAGGCTCGTCTCACATCTCAAGTTCCCAGTTCCAAGAGAAATCACATGTGCACTGATAGAAAGATGACAAAAGGGCATGCTGTGCTCTCCTCTACTTCAGCTGAGTGACAGCTCCACTAACAGGGAACCGAGACATGCAGTAAAATCTGAAACAGGGGGGACCTGAGATGAGCATGCTCAGTGCCTAATTTAAAATGGCCTGATGCTTCATCCCAGCGTGAGATGGCCTACTTCCAAACAATTTCAGAACTTTAAGTCAAATCTAAAATCATTAACTGGAATACTCAAAAAACTCAGCCACCAAGCAGTATTGATTTTTTTTTTTTTTTTTTTTTTTTTTTTTTTTTTTTTTTAAATCTCTGCTGATGCACAGATAATTATTTGCACTACTTCCCTGCAGGGCATCCTAAGGCTTAAACACTATCATCATGTGCTTCACTGTAATTACACCATGCCACTGTAACGGATTGAAAGACCTTTTCAGGACACCATATAATATGAATGCTCAGCAGCAGAGTTCATAAATCAGACCAAGACAACAAATCTGCTGAATATCCTCCAAACTGATTTAAAAATTATACTACCTGGTGATTTCTGGGCAGCTTTTTTATTATTATTATTTTATTTTTTTTTAGGGTGGGGAAGGCAAGAAGGAAGGCTTGAGAACTGTCTAACAAGTGATGGCTTGAGAACTGTCTAACAAGTGATTCATGTCCCAGAGCAGTTTACCTCCACTTAAAATCTCTTTATACATAAGGAAACCATTTAGCTTCTTAATGAAACCATTTACTTTGATATCAAAACTCAGGTTATTCACATGCAAAAATCCTCTGTCAAAGAAGCAGATATTCGAACCTCTTCCCTTTAGAGATTAATATCTCTTAATATACCCACAGACAGACACAAGTAGTACAGAAGTCTTCTATGTTTTGGTTTTCTCTATCTCACAGGCCTCTTTCCATATTTATTGTATATTCATTTTTACAAATGAACACAAAAAGTCTTTCTCCTCTTTTAAGAAGACAAAAAGCTGCACCTCAGGCACTTCTTTCTTTTTTTTAAATGCTTTCCTGTTTATCATTGAAGGTGAAAGCGCAGCCAGAAAGGCTCCTTTATAAATGCCATATTTTAAAAGATACTGTATAAAACCCAGCACCACCCACCTCCTGGTCTGTACCACACCTGGGCATAGGAAAACTACTTGGAATAAACTCTACCATCCTCTATTGACTCTCTGTTTTTAGTATTGTGGATATTGGTTAATACAACATTTGGAAGAAAAGCAAGACATTATTCTTAAGCTTCACTAATATCTACAAGTAATTTAAAAATGAGGTTTTTCTATCCATACAAAAATGCTCATTTTTACTCTGAGAATCTGCAACTTCAGACATAGAGATCTGAAGTCTAACACTTACACACTGCACTCCTACGCTTTAAAAATCCTCTTGGCATGGAAACAAAATATTTACTAAGCTAATTATTTTAACATTAATCCATGCCCTTTGCCTTTGAGCTCACCCAAAATTATAGGATGTATTTTCACTTCAGAAATTTCTTCCAGGCATAAACCCAGAAGTCAAGATGCACAGCAGAGCTATAGCACAGTTGAACTTGATTTCATGAACAAACTGAAACATTCACTTTAATATTCCAGAGACAATATTACAGCACTATAAAAAGAATTTTATTGATAATCATGTAACACTAACTGCATTCAATTGATTTTTAATCCCATAATGTCTTGGGATAGTTACTTTTCTTACACCAATACATACAAACCCCAACCCTTGTTAAGATCTGTCCCAGTTGGAAAATTCAAATTTCTTAGTCTACCACTAGGAGATGAAAAGTCTGCTTTTTGATAAGAATTTCAATATTTCTTCACCAGCTAATGAACACTTTAAAGAAAAAGGAAATGAGTATTAAATCACATATCACATTTTTATCTAATCTTCTCTCATCACTTAACTCTTCATCATTTACTTTGTTATTGCCCTATGAACTGAATAGATTCAGACTGGTGAATTACAACATATTTTTAAAATGTAAGATGTCCATAACATAAAAGTTGCCTCCTGAGTGAGAAATGTTTTCATCCAGGCAAGTTTGCTCTAGCTTCATTCTAAAATCAAAATAAATGAATGTCATGGAAGAAAGATTAATTGTACAAATCTGTAGCTACCTAACCAGTAGTCTGCATTTTCCACATAGAGAAGATGAAGTGGAAAAAGAAGCCACTAACAAAATCCCTTAAAACTGAAGTAAACATTGTTCTCTTGTTTCAAGTTCATTCCCCTTCGCTTCCCAAAATCCCATCGAGCTGAGCATAAATTACAAGAATTTTCTTCAAGCTAGATAGCAATTTGCAAGTTCAAAAGGTCTGTTCTGAAGTTAAATTTTTGTGGGTATGTTCTCCCCCAGAAGACAAATTTTAATGGAAAAAAACCCTCTCTACATTTCTTGGACAACTGTTCAAACTTTAGAGAAGCTTAAGGAAATTTCAGGACAATTTTGTTCTTTCTTTTGACAAATCTGTATTTTAGTCTCTTAATGACATACAAATTGTAGCTGCAATAATGAAATGCAAAGGGCTACAAATAGCACATAAAACCAAAATACTTTGATCCCACAACTACTTGCAAAGAAGTCTCTTGCTGAACTTGAAAGGGTTCCTTTACAATGGCATAAATTTGAGTTTTGAGATCTGTATACCTGATAAGAAAGTTTTACAGTAAATTAGTATAAATTTGCTAACTTAATCTAATAAACATCTCTTGAAAGAAAAAAGTAATTGAATTAATACATAAGTATGAAAATGTCCCCTGTACACAGGACTTCTGGAAGACAATTCTTCTTCTGAACATGACAAAGTTGGTATTAAAATCAAACACCAGCCCTGGAAGCTGAAACATTCTTCTAGAGTTTCTCCACTGATATTTAAACCAAAGTCTTGTCACACAACACACTAAAACTGTGCCAGACTCCTGTGTTAAAAAGGCTGAGTTCAGTGAGCCCTCCCAGAGTGTGACAGGAACACAACTCATTTCAGTAAACTCAGCACACACAGAAGATGAGACAGAACATGTCCAGTGACTGAGGTGGTGCTGGTGGTGCTTCGTGGGTTTTTAATTTTAATATATTTACCAAGAAATCAGGTGGTAAATACTTTAGACATCTTTCTTATTAACAGCTTCTTGGCAACAGTTCACACACGAACAGCTCTGGTCACCTGTTCTGACAGGAGAGCAGCTCATTTTACTAAGATGGGTATTCAGTATTATATTTGGGTTTGGTTTAAGTCTCAATATCAAACTCACCACTATTTCAGAATGAAGTATGATGCACTTTTAAGCTTATAACCAGGCTTTGTACGGATTTTATTAAAAGCAATGACTTATGTAATGGATGTTTTTAACTAAACATGATGAATTCTTCAGTAAATTATATACAGCTGAGCTTCACAAGAATTTCTGGCATCCTAAAAAAAAAATTCCACAATTATATCTCTTATACATGAGCTCTTTCAGCTCTCTTCTCAGTTTTGGCATGATGACACAAGCAGCTTTCCTGGATTTGGTCTACTAGAAGTAATATCTCAAGATGCCCCTCTCAAACACCACATCACAGCTACATAAGAATTCCTCCTTTTCAATAGAAAGCTACATTCCCCAGAAATGTGTAGCAATTTAAAATCTGTTTGCCATTATGTTTTTACATCTTATCTATCAGCTGACCCATTCAAGTGGAAAGAACATTTTTCAAACAGAATGAAGAAAAAGCATGTACCTGGATCTAGACAACCACAAGAGAAAAACTACATATGCAAAGTTCAAATGATGAGTAATTTTTCTCTTATTTACATAATATCATTCAGATTCTTGTTTCTATTCATAGTTCTGTCTGTGGTACATATTTTCAGTGTGTCTACTGTGTAATGTTTTACTCTTCCTATACCAAGCAGCATACTTCTCTGCTTTTTGTTCTTTTGTAGTTATTCTTGCATCTCACTTGAAAATTTTATCTTGGTTTACAGCTTTTCTTTCCATCCCATGTGTTATTTTTGCCTTCCTAACTGTCTTCTTTAATATTTTCCTCAGTAACCCCTGTCCTAGTGTCCTCAACACTGAGATCACATTAAACAGATGTTGAATATTTCCCATGAATAGCAACCTTGAACAATCAGGAACAAAACCAGAAAAGGAACTTCAGAACTTATTATTACATGTAATATGCCTAAAGGCATCAGGAACTGATTTAATACCAAAATCAGGACTAGGACATAAAGATTCCATAGAAAGACAGTATTTATTATCTGCAGTGTTTGTTTTACCTCTGCCACAACCTCAGTTTTCACAGTTCATCTGAGCAGTTGTGTTTCTGAACGTCTGGAGATTGGAAGTCTCCTCCTTCACATGAGTTTGCCTCTGTCAGTGCACCTGCAGCAAACTTAGAAAGAACCCAAAAAAAGGGGCACATCCCACCCAAAATTACCACTACTGGCTCAAAGAACCTTCTCCAGCAGACGTGTCCTCCTCACCTCATCTCTTCATTTGAAGGCTTCATGACAGAAAATTTTACAACTAAACAATGACATGGCATGAAAGAGCAGACAGAACTAAAGGATCCACATTTACTACATCAGCTGATAAGAGACTCCTTATTAAGTTATTGCAATCTCCTGATAAGTCTGTCTTTTGACAGTCTCTCACTCTTCAAATGCCACAATAAGTTTGAACAGCCATCTCTGAGTTTGTGCTGAGTTCCCATACATGTCATCATTTCCGTATTAAACATAGGGACCCTAAATGTTCAAGATACAATAGTTTGTGCTCGTGCTCTTCAATAAGTAAAATGAAAAAAACAAGGTTTATGTCTGCTGTTCACAGCTTATAAAAGCAGACTGTCTGTTGGTCTTTAATACATGACCATAAATGATTCATCTGGAAAATTGTATCAGACAATGTGCCAGAACATATAAAACTGCCGCTGCTGCCCAGAATGTTAGTGTTGTTTCACAAGTTTATATATATATTTATATTATAGGGTGTCTGAGACTAAGACCAGGTCTGAACCAACCACCTTTCAATAAATACAAGCTACAGATGT